TTTTAAGTAACAGCTGCTGTTGTATATGTTTATTAACCTTTAACATTGAAGTAATTGCATACTGGCAGTCATATTTTCCTTCCCGTAACCATATAAAACTAACTGGAACTTATTTCCACATCCCATCATGTATTTGGATTGTTTTTCTTTTATAGTAATTGTTTTCTATGTTGATAACATAGCCTTTTTCCTTTAGCACCATTAAAAGTTTTTTTCCCCTGTAGGCAAGAAGCTAGCTGGAAGCATTATTAGTGACAAGCTTGCAGCTTGTGTTAACATCATGCCTGCTAGGTACATTTCTTTCTCTAGTTTCATTATTTGCAGCTATACATGCTTAGCTAAACGAATTTTATCAATTGGCTATCTTTCAGCATATGTTGCACTGCAACACATCGTATTCACTCCAAATGACTTCTCTGTTTCTTCGGTGTAATGTCATCATTTGTGTGGTCCTTTAGTCAACTGCATAATCCTGAAATCTATGTGTCCTTGAGTACAGCGATAGCAAGTAATCTGACAAAAAGGTCTTCACCTGGATGACCATGTCAAATTTCATTTTCAAAATAAAAAATCATCAATTCCACTATCATGATTGTTCAAGCATCATTTGTCCATATTTAGTGCTATGCAGCATGGATATTTCAGCTACATTTGTGTAACACGAATCAAACGGGTCTCGGATCAAAACCATAGTGAACATGTAACTTAACGGAACTTATGCAAACAAGAAACAACAATACAATCTGAAGTTAACATAATTAGTGTGTTCGTCTATTAGTTGAATTCACTTGAGCATCTGACATTTGTTAAAACTGCTTATCTGTGGGCAACATCGTTTTGCATGTGTGCCTGCACTGGAATGGATGTGAACAAAATGATACCTGTTGTATGCGCAAGTCAGATGCATGCTTGCTTGTCTATGCAGAGTTGGTGCAGCTGCTGCCTAAAATTTCTCAAATTGTGTTTTGCAGTAACATGAAAATGGATTACTGTACTATTGACAAATGAACCAAGAGATTGCATGAAAGTGGGATTACAGTCAAGCAATGTGTTGATCTTGTCCTATCTATGTAGTTCTTGCCATGGATATTTGCTACGTTGCTAATATTCTGTACTTAAAATTTTCTAAATGCTCCTCTTTTCAGGCATTGAATCCGTTTATTGGTGGGAGGGAAAGGTAGTATATTAATCTATTTTTTTGGCCAGTTTAAATGGATGTTTCACCTGTTCAATGAATTCAACAGTTTTACTTGTTACTCCATTCGGTACAAAACACTTGTCATATTGCACTGTCTTCGATATTCATCTTTGATCGCTAATATGTCCTAGAATATATTCTTAAAATTCTTTAAGAGATTCTGCAAGCATTTTTTGATACAATTCTACACATACAAGTATACAATTTGTATTTTCCAAACAGTAGTTTAAAAATTAGTGATCTTTGTAGCTTTAAGGTTTGACTAAATCTTGTCATAAATTCATAAACAACATGTTTTTATGACTGGAGGTAGTAATTTGGTGAGCAACAACTGACTTGCTGCCAGGTGCAAAGTGATGCTGAAGAGTTGCTCATTATCAAGACAAGGGAATCTCTTCTAGATGCTTTGACTGAACACGTGAAAGCCAACCATGAATATGAGTAAGTTCCATGTGACTATTCAAGCTTATACTGTTTGTCGGTATGAACCAAGAGGTTATAAAACCAAACATATTGCTCTTCCTTTGACCCGGAATTTACAGGTTGATCTTTTAATGCAGCGTTCCTGAAGTCTTCGCTCTACCCATACAAGGAGGCAACCTGAAATACCTAGAGTGGCTCAAGAACAGCACTAGGGAGAATTGATGTCTGACATTGCCAAGTTCTTCACTGGATCTCAGCGTGCCAGAGTGCCTGTAGTAGAGTAGTGATGAAATATGGAAAGCTGCGATGGATTTGTCAAATCCTGGAAGGCGTTGAATAAATGCCAATGGCGAGTATAGGAGGGAGCCTTGTACATGAGATGATGAGGTCCACTTGCTTGTGTTTGTAACCACGCGTAGTATCAGTTTAATTGGTCAGTGATATATATCAGTTTTCGAGATGATGGCATGCCATTGATTGTTCATGTTCTTTTTTATCGTAGCCTGTATAGCCCTATAAGTAGAGGTGGAAACAAAAGAAGCAGCTATGGCCACCACGTGCAACACGCGAAGCATCAGATGCTTTTATATGCAAAGATTGTCAGGTGGCCGATTGTCTAGGATGACACTTGCAAACACAGATCACCGCTCACAAATCTTTAGCTAATATGATGTCCGTATTAACCACAAAAAAAAAAAGCAAAAACTCAAATGAGTCACCACAACAAAATAAGATTTTCTCAAGAAACATTTCAGGTGAAGAATTATAATTACTTTGCAAAATTATTTGGTTGGTGGACTAGATTCTGATTCTAAAAAAATGTTTTTCCATAAAAAACCATATGAGAATATTGCTTAAAAATTCAAAACTTTTTGTGGGTCAAGACCTACTTAAATAGAACCCACTTTAATTTATTGCACTTAAAAAAGATTACAACCCCTAGTATAGAAAGGAGCCAAGAAATTGGTGAAACTTGCACATAAAAAAGATTAGAATGGAGCCAAGAAATAGGATTTGGCGAAACTAGTCGGTGACAGTTTCTGGCTTGTAGGCAAAAAAGGAGAGTCGATTCAAGTGATTCATTGGGGAAACATTTCTCTACCTACCCCGTTTCGGAACTGCTCCAAGCTACCAAACAGTCTCTAAGTTTTTAGCAGAATTTGAGCGTCCTATGTTGAGCCTGAATCCTTTTTTCACCATAAACTTCTGTCAAGCTAACATAAGGCACAATATTGGTACAACTTTGGACACTGAGAAACAAACAAGAAGAAACCTATTTGACCCAGAATTTCAGACAAGTGCAAATCGGAAGAGAAGGCATTAGCGTATAGCTTCACAAAAGTTGCAACTTCTTCACTCCACATTTTCATGCATGATGTAAATCAAATACCAAATTGGCCCAATTGGAAGTGAAAGCCATCAGCTTCTAGGTGGTGGTTAACAAAAATCAGCCTCTTCACTCATGATTTTTGTGAGCAATCCAATATAAACACCAGATGTCCTAAGCGGAAGCAAAGATCAATAACCAAAAAAGATCTTGTTTTTCTCTCTGTAACTAAGATAAAAAAGGGGCGTACCCAGTGCAGAGAGCGCCCGCTCTATGCAGGGTCTGGGGAAAGGTGTCAGTGGCAAGCCTTACCCTCTCCTGTGCAATGCGAGGAGACCGCGACTCGAACCCGGGACCTTCCGGTCACAGGCGGTAAGACTCTACCGCTTGCACCAGGCCCGCCCTTCTCTCTGTAACTAAGATATCCATTACAAAAACTTGGTAAGCTTGAAAGATCACATTATGATCCAGCCACACTCATCTTATATGATAATTACAATCCACCAATCTATATCATCACTAACCAAAGATAAATATCAATCAGGGAGAATGGGCCGGGCACCACAAGCATTCCAACAAAACACTGTGTATAAGGATGCCAATACTATTAGATCAGATCAGACGCAACCATGACAGAAAAGAAACATGAAATTTTGTATGAACCCATCCTTATTAGAGATTATATCTTTATTGTAAATCGTGAATAAGATTCAGCATCACCAAACTTGGAGAACCTGACAGATTACTATTAAACCTAGTATTACCAACATCATAAAATCTGTAACCAAAGATAAATATATCAAATAAGGAGAAATCAACATCAGAAGCTTCACCAACAAAATACCACATCATTGATAAAAAAAACAAAATATCACATCATTACATTATGGGAATATCAAGATCACATCACACACAACATGAAAACAAGAAGCAACACTATATGATTCCGTTGTCAACAATGTAAAACAAATCAAATCAGCCACCATGACATGATGCAGTAATAGAGAACATGAAACTAAAATCGTGCCAAACATCATAAGCATTTCACTCTGAACATCAAGTCGTGTCAATTGCCTAGAACTTTTACTTGAGAAAGCCCATATATAAGGCACTTGAGCAGGATCAAGAATCATTACTTCATAATTCATTTTTTTTTTAAAAAATCTACAATAATTAAAAGGATATCCTCCAGATAAGAGGAAACCAGGCACAAGAGACCATGTAGATTAACATAACATTAACCAAACTTCTTCTTAGCAAGGCATGGATCCCACATTACACCACCAAATCCAAACAAAAAGGAGCTACATTTTGCATCGTTATCTCCATAGCGTTCCATCAGAAAAATCAAATCTGCCAGTTCCATGAGGTGGGGACCTTCGAATGGCCATTATAAATTTTAACTTTCAAGGTGAAACCAGAGAGAACATGAAACTAAAATGGTGCCAAATATCTTAAGAAATTCACTCTGATTAAACACAAGGCAATTAAATAGCACTCAGCAGCAACCCCTCCCCCTTGAAGAAAAATGTTGCCCAACCTCGTAGAATCTTTACACAAGAAAATCCATACACAAGACACTTGAGCAGTACCAACCTTCATTGATTCACATTTCTTTTTCAGAAAAACCAGCAGTAATCAAAAGAGATATCAAACTCAAGATAACAGTACCGTCCGACGAAATCAGACACAGAATAAGAATAAGATTTCACATAGATTAACACAGCATTAAACAAACTCCATAAGTTCATAGCAAGGTATGAACATGGACCCCACCGTGCACCTCCAAGTCCACACAAAAAGGAGCCACATTCTGCATATCCGTCCCCATGACGTTTGATCACAATATTCAACGACTTTGAAGCACTAAAAGCCCTACATTTCCATCAGATACTAAACTAAGCATACACAAAAGCACGCCTGTTTGATAGCACGGTTTTCAGTTTCCCAACCAACCATCTACCCAGTTGAGCTGTTGGTATGTAGGCAGAATTAACAAGAGCAAGATTACGATCAAAAGGCACAACCTTCCATTCATCCTCCCTCGATCGGTCACGGCAAATCGTGGAGGACCCCCATCTCGTCGACGCGGAAGCCCAACTCGCTGAGGTCCACCGTCTCATTGATGGCGATGTCGCTGTCCCATTGCTCCCCGAGCACACCCTCCTCGCCCTCGACCTCGAGATCAATGGCGGCTGCGGCCTCTTCCTCTTCCTCCTCCGCCTCAGCCCGTGCCCTGCCCTTGAAACACACGCCCATCTTCATCCTGGAAGTCGGGCCTGCGCGGGGTGGCGTGTCGGCGGATGCGGCGGCGGGGTTTGGGGCGGGGGAGGGTGATGGCGGGGGATTGAAGGGATAGAATGTGGTGAAGGGCACCCAACTGTCGGCGGTGACGGGCGGGCCTAGTGGAAAGAATGCCCAGGTGCAGAAGTACATGTCAGTGCCAGGGACGACAGGCGGCGCCTCGGGCAGCTCGGCGGCGGGGAAGGCGCGGCGGCAGGCCGGGGTAGGGCAGCGGAGGCGGCGCCCAAGGTAGAGACGCGGGAATGAGTGCACGTAGCAGCAGTGCGGGCACGCGGTCCAGAACGCGTCCTCGCCGGCGACTCCGGCGGACGCGGAGGCGCCGAGGTGGGCGGCCATCTCCTCGGGGCGCGGGTTTGCTGCCGTTTCGGGGGGGAGCCAAAAACGAGAGACGAAAGGAAAGCGGCGGACAGACATTCAGTAACTTAGCTGCAGCAAGTCACAGCGTAACTTGCGACCCTTCATCCACCGTCCAAAGCTACATCCAAAGGCCCACAGCACTTGCAGCTAAAATAGAAATATCTATCCAATCTTTTCACGGAGTCTGCGGACGCGGGAGCGAGGGCCAGATTCCCGCGCGGCCGCGCCGGAGTCGCGCCGTACCGCGACCCCGCTAACCCTGCGCGAATTTGTGCTCATCAATTCGTCCCTGATCTTAATACAAGGTGAGGTAGCCCGGAACCCTGCCCCTATTTGTTGTTTTTCTAAGGTGAATTTTCAGTTTTGAACCCTGCTACAAAACTACAAACATACATGACTGATCGTCTGATCCATGTGCCTACTATAAAGAGTTGATACGTTATTAAAAGATTTGCTCAGTTTCATTCAATATATAAAAGCAAACAGGAGACATAAGACAGTTTCTTGCACAGATGTAAGCATATCTACCTTTGAAGTTTGGACAATATGCAATGGACACATAATATAAAAGCTTACTGACTTCTCTGCTGCTCACATCTAACCTGGCAAAGTTTTAGTTCTGCTGTAATCCTGTTACTTTGTTCCTGATGTTCTTGGACCATCGTCTGAATCATGTCCTTTTTCTCTCTGTTAGTTCAATGGGGTTTGATTGGATTGGATTATATTACAATGACAAAATCAATGTACAAGGAAAATAGACCCTAGACCCATTTACTTTGGGTTTTGGTGTTTCATGACCAACACAATCAGATTAGACTAATGAATTTGTAAGTAATTGTTTTGTAGTTCAATAGGGTGCAAGACGTGACTTGGACGGAGGCGACGTGATAATCTGATGATCAACACCTCAAAAAAGACAATAGAAGATACATAGAAGACATACAAGATCAAGCAAAGTTCAAGACACGAAGATAGGAACCAAGCCAGACGCAAGATCGCGAAGAAACAAGCTTCACAGAGGTGACCGGACACGGCCCTATGAGTACCGGACGCGTCCGATCAGTTGCTCGGCAACAGCAGGAGTCAGCAGCAGTGACCGGACGCTGAGCAGTAGTGACCGGACGCTGAGCGAAACAGTGACCGAACGCACGGACTTCACTGTTCATCGTCGCAGCAACAACTCAGTGAGGATCGGACGCAACGGCACTGGATGACCGGACGCACAAAGTGCAGCGTCCGATCATATCCAGAAAAGTTCCAGAGCGGCACAAATGTGACCGGACACGTCCGGTCAATGATGACCGGACTCGTCCCAGAGTCCATTAAACGTGCGCGCTCAATGGTCAGGATGACCGGACGCATCCGGTCAGGACGAAAGCAGCGTCCGGTCAGTAGTAGAAAGCTGGGTTTCACCCTCAACGGCTACTTTCTCTATGGGGCTTATAAATAGACCCCCTAACCGGCCATTTGTGATGTGGAGAGCTGAGAAAACATATAAGGGTGTTGATACACCATTTTAGTGATCTTCACTTACATAGTGCTTAGTGATTCATTAGGTTATAAGCGTAGGTGCTTTTACGAAGTGCTTAGATTGATTAGACCACCGCTTATGCGTTTGCTCTAGGTTTAGGCCTAGTGTTTAGTGAGGTTTGCACCTCTTATCACTCGGTGTTTGCACGCACCATTGTTCTACATCGGAGGGGCTTGTAGTCTTGCGAGATCACAGCAATCATGTTTGTGGTGTGACCGTCATCGTGTACCAAAGAGAACAAAGCCCACGGCGGTTCAGCCGGAAGCTTGATAGTGAAGACGGCGAAGAGCATCCAGGAGAGGCTTGCCGGAAGACACGTCAGAGATCCACTTGCGCGTGGGGAAGGCCCGAGGCTATCCACGGAGTTACCCGACCAGGAGCTTGCCCCTTGCTAGGGATTCCTTGTGAGGGGCTCCAACAAGGATTAGGGGGAAGCTTGCGCGCTTCTCGATAACTCGGTAAAAATACCGGAGTCGTCGATGGGGGTTTGCATATCTCTACCTTACTCTTTAGCTTCCGCATTTACATTGCAATCTTGATGTGTGCTTTACTTTCCTAGCTTAGTAATAGGCTAGTTGATAGGTTTGGAACCTAGGTTGCATAACTCTTTTTGCGGTAGAGATAGCAACATACCTAGCAAAATCGTAGTTGCACATTTAGATAGTTTATCTTTTGCATAGGTTTTGACTAGGTGAAATTAGAGGCCTTAGTTAGAGTTAGAGTTTTAAGTTGCCTAATTCACCCCCCCCCTCTTAAGCATCACGGTCCCTTACAAGTGATATCAGAGCCAGTTGGCTCAATTTGGACCTTTGGCTTCACCGTCGTTGAGCCGACGCTATTTAGAGTGGTTGGGATGGATACCTCTAGGCCTCCGCACTTTGACGGCACTAACTTCCCCTACTATAAAGCTAGAATGACTTGTCATCTTGAGACGGTAGATTTGGGTGTTTGGAGAGTCACTCGTGACGGGATGAAACCCATTAAGAATCCCGATAAACCCATAAAGAGTGAAGAAAAAGAAATTCATTTCAATGCTAGAGCTAAAAATTGCTTGTTTGAATCTTTTAGCATGGATGTGTTTAACCAAATGTTCACTTTAAATACAGCACATGAAATTTGGTTAAAACTCCAAGAGCTCCATGATGGCACAACTAATGTCCATGAGCAAAAACATTATCTAGTTAACACAAAATTATGATTCCTTTAAAATGAATGATGATGAGCTTATTCATGATATGTATTCTCATTTGAATCTAATTATCAATGAGCTCCATTCAATAGGATTAACGAAGCTAGATGATGCAGACATCATGAGAAAGATCATCTCTGTACTACCAAAAAATATGCAAGCATCATCACCATCCTTCACAATATGGAGGACTTGAGCACCATGACCCCGGCCATAGTCATTGGCAAGATAGTGGCATTTAAAATGTCACGAAAGATGGGTCAAGAAGAAGCATGGTCATCAAGCAAAGGCAAAGCTCTCGCATGTACTAAAAAAAGAAGATGAAGGGCAAGCAAGTTGAGACAAGTTCAAGCTCAAGCTCCTCAACTGAAGATGATGATGAAGAAGAAGAAGAAGAAGAAGATGATGATGATGATGATGATGATGATGATGAAGATTCAAGTGATGATGATCAATCTTCCTCCTCCACCTCCGATCTTGATGAAGAATCAATCAAACTTATCAACAAGGTGGAGAAAATGATCTAAAGGCTCAATGTCAAGGGTGTGCCCATCCAAATTTAAGATTTCATCTTCACAAATCAAAGAAATGAGCAAAGAAAAAAAGATGTTATGGATGTGGCGAGTTAGGGCACTTTGTGGAAGTTTGTCCAAATAAGCCCACACCCAAGACAAAGAAGAAGACGTGCAAGGGCAAAGCCCTCACATCAATAAGGTCATGAGATGATTCTTCAAGTGAAGAAGAAGACCATCACAAGAGGTGAGGCCACAAGCACTCAACATCAAGCTCTTCTCGTGTGTGCCTTATGGCACGAGGTAACGGAAGCTCATCCTCTAGTGAGAATGATAGTGATGATGAAATGCCTTCTATTAATGAACTTGTGCAATAAAATCTTAAATATGCTAAGGCTTGCACTAGCCAACAAAAGAAGCTAAAATGTTGGAAGAAAAGCTAGATAGTTCACAAGAAGCATATAAAACCTTGCTTGAACAATATGAGACATTTGCTAATCTCAATATTGAACTATCTACTAAAATTGAGCAACTTGAGGCTAGTGTAACAACAAATACATGCAAATCAATGATGAGCAACTTATAAAGAAAAATGAAAAATTAAAAGAAAAGTTAGCTAGCTCACAAGATGCTTATAAAAGTTTACTTGCTAAAATGGAAAACATGTGCAAACATTGTGATGAGCTAACTAATAAAGTTGCTAATCTTGAAGCCGTCAGTACAACCCTCACTAAGGCACCTAAAAGAAAAAAATTAATTGTTGACATGACTAAAAAGGATGCCTCTACTTCTTGCAATGATTTATGTTTAGACTCACCCTTGTGCAACCAAGTTTGTGTTGAGAAAGTTGTTGTAGATACATGCACACAAGAGGTTGCAATGGAGAATGAGCAACTCAAGCAAGAAGTGGCTCACCTCACTAAGGACTTGACTCAAGTGCAAGGCAAAATGAAGCAAGTCCAACTTCATCAAGATAACACTGTCAAGGGAGTGAAGAAGCTTGATGACGGACAAACTGTGGTTTCCTATGTGTGCCACAAGGAAGGCCACAAGTCCTATGAGTGCAAGGTGAAGAATGGGGGAGGAGCTAAGAAGAAAGAGAAAAACAAAAAGGAAACAAGCAAACTCTCCAACACCTACACCAACAAGGTGGACAAAAAGGCCTCCATACCTTATCTCTTGAAGAAGAAGAAAAATGACAAGGTGGTGGCCATCAAGGTGAACAAACAAGCCAACAATGGAGCCAAACACATTTAGGTGCCAAAGAAGATCATTTCCAACATGAAGAGCACTAGGAAGGTTTGAATCCCGAAAGAGAAGTGAGAAGTCCGATAGACATCAGGGAATTTGAAGACTTGGTATAGTTTTGGGTGCATTTCATGGGGTGCATCACATTGGATCATGTCAATTGCCAAGTGGGTTAGTGAACACTATGGACCCAAATTCCCCTCCCCATGTTAGGTAACTAGATTTAATTTCTTGCAATCACTATTAGCATCTAGTTTCTTTTCATGCCTAGGTTTGTATTTGCATGCTTAAATCTTTTGTCATGCATACACTAGGTAAATCATATGGTAGGCTTGCTCGGTTTCACTCTTAACCCTTGGAGCCAACCTATATGGTTTAAATTGTTTAGATGTACGGCACATAGCTTGTTTTACAATTGTTCATCTAATATGTGCCAAAGTCCAAATTGTAGATAATTTCTCCTGAATATCACTTACAAAAATGATTCTCACATTCATGT